GTTTACCTATTACAGCAAGAAAGAAAATAAACAAAGAAGGAACAGATTTTCAATTTACTACTATTCTAACTTCTGCTGTCTATCCTATGTGTGACGACGTTCTAACGGGAGTGTACAGGTACTGCAGCCACAGCCAGTGTGATCAAGACACAACAACACAGGTGAGTAACCACAGAACAGCCAAGACAAGTGAGTAAGTCAGCCAACACAATCAACAACAATCAATTGTCAGCATCCCTTCCTCTTCGGCTGTACCATCTGCAGAACCAATGCAGCCAGACACAAGGGCCGGCGCGTGGCACTACAGCAAATTGTGAAGCTGTACCACCTGCCAGCACACAAGTGCACGTATCAATTCCTCACCCGCGGCAGTGCACCAAGTCTGCCATGTGTCACCCCTGCAATGCCAACACAGCAGCTACAAGGAGTCTGCCACATCAGCGTCAATGGCCAGTGCGGCCTTCCGGAGGGATGCCACGTCAGCAAGGCACAAACTGCCAACACATTCAACACTGGTATGCCACTTCAGATCGAAGTGTGGAGCGCTTCGTCAACAGGTAGTCGCGACGCAGGTGCGTGCCACATCAGACAATGCCCTGCCAATAGTAGGATGCCATGTCAGCACCCCTGCGCCATACCACGTAGGCAGCTTGCCACGTCAGCAGTCCCCGTATCCACTCTCTCTCTCTCTCTTGTTTACCAGCGCCACACCAGCCTGCTGCCAACGATACTCTCGCCGGTATCTCAATGCCACATCAGCAACAAAGCGCCACGTAAGCAATGTCGCCATCTTCCTCTTCTAAGTGTCCACGTCATGATCTTCAGGGGGGCCTGCATGCACGTGTGGTACTCAATGTCTAGACTCGCGATACTAATCGCGCGCGTTTATAAACGTGTTCCCGTCGATACACGTGCGGCACCTCCCACTTACCCGGGCGCCACGTGGCGCGTGACAGCACATGGCGACGATGAAGGTATGCTCCGATACCAAATTGCAATGAACCCAGACTGGAAGATACTCGCCAGACGTCGAAATACAAGATAACTCAGATCTGGAGAATATCTCCAATAATCGTAAATGTGATCTCTCATACAATGTCTCGTTATCAGTAGACGAAGAGAGTGGAGGGGGAATAGACAGATAAGAGGGTGGAAGAGATAATAACCATCAATGACCACCAAGAGAGTAGCCCAACATTTCCCACTCCTGCTCCGGGCTTCCACTCACCTCCACGTCAGCAAACAGTATCCAGTAACGAGTCTGACAGGTTCTGATCACATCTAAGTGCCACGTGGCACTGTTCTCTCGTGAAGACGATGGAGACGAATTAGGAGCGCACAGTATCGACGTCAACCTCAGGTAAGTATCCCGATCCTTCTCAATCATCCACAGATCCCGATCTCCCTCCTTGTCCCGTCCTGTCACCTAATGTAGACAACGTGGCCAATGACACCTCAGCGATGAAGATAGGTGGCATGCGCCACATCAGCAGTGAAGACAAGTGGCATGCGGCACATCAGCAGAGGCTGGCGCTCAGCAGAGAAGGCGCCAGCATGTTGCCTCAGTCCCGCGTCGTCGTCCACAGTGCCAGCGCACGGCCAGCGTCAAGCCAGCATCCAGCTAGCATCAAGCCAGCGTCCAGCTAGCGTCGAGCCATCGTCAAGTCAGCATAGCAAGACTGAATGTTGACTCATTGGAGGCAGGGTCTTATGTAGTGATAGACCAGGTTGACCTGCCTCAGGTCTCCCACTCACGGTGGCTCAGATTGATTCACAGCCGAGGGCCTGGATTGCATACAGTTGCAGGCTTCCACTTGGTCCGAATGCTGTCTTGGTACCTGCATATAAACAAGTGTGTGCATCTGTTACATCTTCGACGCCACACGGGTCCTACCGGACCCGACATAGGGTAGAGGGACACAGTAGGGCCAAAGGCCCGACCTTGGGGGTACTACAGGCCGTAAAGGCCTTACCTTGGACCAGACCCGACGGGCCGGCCCAAACGATGTTACCGTTTGGGCCTGGCGGCGCTCTTGAGGCTGCCGCCCGCCGGTTGGGGCTGAACCGTCCATCTGGACGGTTCAGGGCACGGTCAGGCCTCGCAGCATAGAGGCCGACCTCTGCCCACCGGTACAAAGGTACCGTTCCAGCCTCAACCGGTCCAGCCTCAACCGGTCCAGCCTCAGTGAGGCTATCGACCTACCGGCAGTCTACCGGTACGGTATGGTACAGCGCGATACAGCGCTGGCGCTTAAGTTTAGCGCAGGAGCAGCGAGGAGCAGCAGCGCAGCAGCAGCGAGCGAGCAGCAGCAGCGGCGACTGAGTGTGCCGGCGGCCATAGCCGCCTGAGGTATCGGGAGTTGGAGGCCTCTCTCCTCCCTCCCCTCGCCAGTCCCCTCTCTCTCTCTCTCTCCTCCTCGGCTCCTTCTTCTTCTTCTTCTTCTTCTTCTTCTTCTTCTTCTTCTTCTTCTTCTTCTCCTTCTTACAAATTGAAAAATGCAATTATGTGAAAGGAATTCGCATTAGTTGTTCAGGTCGAAACAATGGTGCAGAGATTGCTAAGACTGAATGCAGAAAATATGGTCCCTTTATTTTATTTTATTTATGGTAAGTCCTAGGTATTCACCACATTGTTGCAGTGGTGTGGTTGCAAACATCTAGCACAGCGAAGAGTGGAGATCAAGGTCAGCGACCTTTCAATGCTGGTCCTGGCCAAGTTCATGTTACTGTACATTACAGTAACATACATGATGGTAGAGGCCACTCGCCAGAGAGAGCTTGTGAAAGTAAGTAGACAATGGATCAGTGAGCAACTGTAATCGCCATCATCTTGGTCTGAGGGGCGATTACGTATGGCGCTCACTCTTTCTTTTCCTTCTTCAGATTGGAGACTTATACTAGTTGGACAGAGATCAGTATTGGACTTCGGTGGTATGAGACTGTGGTACTTACCGGATCGGAGACTTGGAGATTGTTGGGGTTGATACTCGGCTGCATCACAGTTTAGGACACCGGTTACATTTGGACTCTGTACCTCCGACATTGGTGACCTATTGTCCTCGACATTTTGATCTTGTTTGGATGACATTTTGGACTACCATATCGGTGACCTATCAGATTCTATCTCAGTGACCTTCGGTGCTGTCTACCTCCCCCACCTCTTTCGTCTCTCCTCCCACCTCTCATCTGTGTATGCGTGTACGAGGTCTGGGCATCGTCTATGCTTGGCCCAGACCCCACCATCTCACGATTGTATGTGTGTGGAGTGATTCTTGAGTCAGTCTGTGTGAGTCAGTTTATGTGAGTCAGTCCGTTTATCAGACTTCCGCTGCATATATGCTCATCCTACATTGGTTGATCTTTGGTTCTGCCCATACTCATTGAAGTATGTAACAGTTTTGGTATCGGAGCAGACCAATAATGGATCTGCTCACCAGGTAAGTCTGATGAGGACGTAGATTGTTGTTTCAATCATCCAAATCAGCTCTGAATTACTATCGAGTTCAAAGTTGCAAATTTTTTTCTTTTTCTTTTTCGGTATTCTACTTATTTCGGCATTACCGTTGCAATTCGGTATTCGGACTTATAATTCGGATTTCTGTTTCCTTCCGGTATGCTGTTTATTTGGGTTCCGATTGAGTAATACTAATCCGATAATTGATTAAGTTTCGGATTTCTGATTTTACACGTATTAGGGTTGAATCAGTATCATGTTGAAATTCGGCTTTTCTGATTTCCATTCAGCATTCCGTTTTTCGGCATTTTGTTGTAAATCCTATATTTCGTTTTCTTTTGGATTTCCGTTGTCTTTCAGTATTGGAAATTAGGGTTACAAAAATCTTCGGCTTTTAGGTCAACTTGGGGAAATTCGAACGTTTTGGGACTGTAAATCCGGAAATTCCGCTGAAACGCGGAAAATTAGGGTTGGGACCGAAATTTTCGCGAAATTTTTTTTTCGTTCCCCTTGTTGGAGAAATTCCGAGAACGGGTTTAAGCCTTTAAAAATCGGATTTTGACGGTGGGAATCCCCGAAATTTCACGTTTTTGAAAATTCGAGTGTTTTTCCTTCTGAAATTTTCCGAAAATTTTTTCGAGCAAACTAATCCGTATCTGACCCTCAAAACTGCAACTTCCTTTTAGTTCACTAATTAACGGTGAACTCCCGGACCAGCATTGATCTCAACAGATACCTAATCTAAATACAATTCAATTTCGTTCATTATCATTATTGCAAACATTGTTTATTGGTGATCATCATTATTGCAAATATTGCTATTTGAAGAGTTATTATTTCGTATTAATCATTAATTCACTTTATTGATTAAATAATTCGTTAATTTTAGTTCTTATTACGAATTTTTGAATTGTTTACGGGAAATTTATCTTTTCTGTTTTGATTAGGTGTCTACAGTCCATCAGAGGGACAGGGGACTGTATGCGTATTGTGTGATTGTTCTACCCCTGTTCCCACCCTCCCTACCCTCCCCGTACTCTGTGACCACCGGGTTTCTCAAGTACCACATCAGCTAGCACTGATGTCGATGGAACAAGACACCGGGGCACTGCCACGACGCAGTGCCAGGCTTGCAGGGCGTGCTCGCTCTGTGATACCTCTCCGACTCAGGACTCAGCGACTCAGTAGCAGGACGACTCCAACGGCATCGAGTACAGCATTGACGGTACTGGGTACCACCGGAGTTCTTCCCGCATGCCCGGTCCAAGGGGCCGGTGAGCCGTTGGCAGATTACCTTCAGCGGGTACAGGCATTCACCGATCCGTAGCAACCACAAAGGCACAGGAGGAAGCAGAGGCGGAACGTCAACGGCTGGCCAAAGAGGCGGCAGCCCAAGCTCAGCAAACTGCTGAGGATGACGCAGCAGCATGGGACCAACGGAATGCCGCCAGCACGGAATCCCTGATTCATAATGAGAATCAGTGGACAACGATCCTCGAGGGCATGATCTTTGTGCCTTCGGAAGAACAGGCAGATCCGACACCGGTGGAGGCAGAGAGGACTCACCTGGCTAACGTGATGTTGACAATGATGCGAGCGATCATGTGGAACAATACGATGTTAGCGGTACAAATACACAAAGGCAGACAACTGCAACAGATTCAGCAGAAGGATTCTGCAGCCTTGTCAGCAGCTGTTCGCACTACCACCACACATCAGCAAAAACAGCAACAGCTGTGGAACACCACCACCGCACGCGTCAGCAGCATCGAGGCTAAGGCCGCAGCAGCGCCAGGCTGCACGACAGACGAGACGAAGCAACTCAACGGGCGCATCGATCACGTAGTCAAGCTCATCGGCGACAGAGGTGTTTTCAATGGGCCGGACACGATCAGTAGCACGGTAGCCGCCATCAAGACGGACATCACCATGCTACAGACGAGACCGGACACCGCGACGAAGAGTTACAAGATGCCACACTTCGACATCAACAAGACGGACGCCTTGGCATGGTGGCAACATTTCCTTACAGAAGCATCCTGCCGCACTGTCCCAGACGACTACATGATGAAGGCGCTATACTTACAGCTGATTGGCGGAGCACAGGCATGGATGAACCACCTGGCGGCTACCCACACATGCGCCATCGCCGAACTTCACACGCACATCACGTGGAAGGAGTTCGAGCAGCTATGGTTCACCCGGTTCATGGTCCGCAACGTCGTGAAGGCGGCCATGAACGAGGTGTACACCTGCTCTCAAGGAAGTATGCCAACTCGAGACTGGACAACCAAGTGGCAGCAGATAGTGACCACGCCAGGCTTCGATTTGACTTTTTCAAATCAACGATCCGAGTTCTTCTCGCGATCGTGCGCATGATTGCGGTCGGCACTCGGCAATGAGTACGACTATGCCTCGTTCCAGGCCATCCTGGATCGCGCAAACCTGGTCATCCAAACGGACGACAAGGTCGCTAACAAGAAACAATCCCAACCACATTATGTGGCTAAGCAGGGCTATCAATGTCCGACACATAACAATGTCATAATTTATGAAGGAACAAACGATCTCCACGCTGCAGCAGCATCCTCGAGTGATGGAGGAATTGTATCAGCGCTCCCGCCGAAGCGTCCTAAGAGGGTCCGGAAACCCAAGGCGACACAAGAGACGACATCGACGGGAACTGGGCAGCAGCCATGGACGGCCTACAACATCACAAAGGAAGTCTATGAACTTCGTCAAAAGTACAGATATTGCCTTTGGTGCAATGGAGTCACACACTTGACTGCACAATGCCCCGAAAAGGGCAAGGCACGCGTACTCCGTCCAGCAAACTCGGGAAACTGAGTTACGCAAGGAGAGGGGCGACGTTTCTCCTCACTCCGTCGGACCCGGTTGCCTTGCTAGCAATCGATGTCACTACCGGGGAGCATGCGTTAGTCACTGATTCTCGTGCTACGTACGAGGATTATGCCGCCCAGCTGGTACCACCATTAGACCAGTCAAGCCACGTGCATTTAGCTAGCATATGTGCAGCCTGTACACCGTCGGTAAGTGATCCGGTCAATTCGCCACTGATTTCCGAGGACTCGACAGCGTGGTCAAGACTTGAGGAGCTTGACCCGCTCACGAGAGAGGACTTCGCTTGGATGCCTTTACCCTTGACCAGAACCTTGCCAAGGCCCCATTGCAACGCCTTGATGGCAACTCTACGCTCCTATTTGCACACTACAGTACCAGCTCCGTTGACGGACGACGGGGTAGCGGTTGTCGATCTCCGCTCCTATCTTGCGAAGATTGACCGTGAGTAC